GAACTTGGAAGCACAGCTGCTCCAGTGTTCACTGGATTTCAGTCAGTGAATTTCAAATTCTTGCAGCAAAATGCCCTCAAGCAACCCAATGACTCAGTTGTTCCAAAGTTTGAGACATACATAGTAGATCAGACTCTTCTTTGAAAAACCTCCTCCTGACCCTCCTTCATTTATTTAGAATATGATTCTCGTGCTGAACAATTTTGCGACTGCAACTAGCAGCTGAACAAAAGAGGCTGACACCAATCAAACCATTTCATACGCAAGGCAGCAGGGAGTGGCTTTTGATATTGAAATTTTCCCCTGAATGTGGGGACATGGCAGTGTATAAATGCATCATTCATGGTGCTGAATTCAGCCAATTGTGTGAGAAGCAGGACTGCTTCAGGATGGTGCACTTCACTTTCCCTGGAAATGATCATCTTTTGTCAGCCTCATGAAGGGACAGGCAGATGGAAGGAAGGGAAGGGACAACCCAAAGCGTCAAAGGGTTCAAAAGGCCGACATTGAAAGAAATGGTTGCTTGGAATTTTAAAATGTAAAAAGGAATAGAATAACAGAGTTGGAAGGGACCTTGGAGGCCTTCTAGTCCAACCCCCTGCCCAGGCAGGAAACCCTACACCACTTCAGACAAATGGCTGTCCAATCTCCTCTTAAAAGCCTCCAGTGATGGAGTCTTCACAACTTCTGGAAGCAAGGAGTTCCCCTGATTGATTGTTCTCACTGTCAGGAAATGTCTCCTTAGTTCTAGGTTGCTTCTCTCTCTCCTTGATGAGTTTCCATTCACTGTTTCTTGTCTTGCCTCCTGGTCCTTTGGAGGATAGCTTCACTCCCTCTTCTTTGGGGCAGCCCCTGAGATATCGGAAGACTGCTATCATTTCTCCCCCGGTCCTTCTTTTCATTAGACGAGACATACCCGATTCCTGCAAATTGTTCTTCATATGTTTTAGCCTCCAGTCCCCTAATCCTCTTTGTTGCTCTTCTCTGCACTCTTTCTAGAGTCTCAGCATCTTTTTTTACATCATGGCAACCAAAACTGGATGCAGTATTCCAAGTGTGGCCTTACCGAGGCCTTATAAAGTTGTACTAACACTTCCCGTGATCTTGATTCTATCCATCTGCTTATGCACCCTAGAACTGTTGGCTTTTTTGGCAGCTGCAGCACAAGGCTTGACTGCATCTCTCCGGTAGTCCTTCACCCACATTTTGGAGCATGGTCACTTCTGAATAATAGGAAGAGCAGCAGTCTAGGAATTAAGAAAGATTCACAAGTTCTGGGCATAATTTTTTTGCAGCAGGAAGACTCAGGCTCAAGCCCACCCACTAACACGGAAAGTTTCTGGCGAGCCTTTAGGAGCCCCTCTTCCTCACTCTTACTGTGGAAATAAATCATGTAAGACATCCTGATTTTTTTGGGGGGGAGGGTGGAGCAAAATATAAATGCAAATAAGAGAATAATGATTAATCGTAATACTGTGAATGAAGCATAATCTCTGCAGAAGTCATAGTGATCAGAGTTGGGTTTAAAGCACAATGAAAAAAGTGGAAATTCTTTGCCAAGATTATGGGCTAGTTGATGGAAATGTATTTGTGGATGGAGTAAATTCACAAAGTCTACTCCTGAGACTAAGACAAGCCCTCAAAGCCCCCATGGCTTGCACCTGGAGTGATTCTTTTCTTAGGTAGCATCTGACTGTTTCCAAGCTGACAACTTTCCTCCTATTGTAATATATTGATATTTTGGCCTTCAGCAACAAATGGAATTTAACTTCCTTCTTTCCTAAGAGCCTCATTTTAAATAATACAATATGAATCCAGTACCAGGCTTTGGAGGTTTGCAGAAAATGGCAGAGTTGAGGTGTTTGGGGTCTTGAATGGAGCTGGTTCTCTTTTTTTCCTCCTTTGTTTCATGTGTCAAGAAAATTGTGACCCTTGGCTTAGTGTGCGAGAGCTCTCTTTGTCTCGAAGCTCTCATGTGAGCCCAAGGACTGTTTTTGTGCTGCGTGACCTTTCTTCCTCTTGGGCCCCTGAAGAAGCCATTCATCCCATGAAAGAGGCCCCCACCTCTCCTAGCTTCCTTCAAAGCACTTCTAGCGCCCGCTGGCTTTTGTCACCCCAAAGAGCCTTCTAAAGAAACCAGAAGCCAGACCGCTTCTGCTTGTATTTCCAGAACAAAAGATTGGCATTGTTTACAGGAAGCCCAGAGGGTGCAGCACTATGCCAACCCCCCAAATTACACATTCTCTTGTATTTGTTCTTAACAGATAACAGATAATCCGAGTTGAAAGGGACCTTGTAGGTCATCTAGTCCAACACCCCACCCAAGCAGGAGACCCTACACCATTTCTGACAGATGGCCGTCCAGTCTCTTCTTGAAAGCCTCCAGTGATGATGCTCCCACAACTTCTGAAGGCAACTTCTGTTCCATGGGTTGATTGTTCTCACTGTCAGAAAGTTTCTCCTTATTTCCAGGTTGAATCTCTCCTTGGTCAGTTTCCACCCATTATTCCTTGTCTGGCCTTCGGGTGCTTTGAAAAACAGCTTGACCCCTTCCTCCTCTTTGTGGCAGCCCTTCAAATATTGAAAGACTGCTATCCTGTCTCCCCTGGTCCTTCTCTTCACTAGACTAGCCAGACCCAGTTCCTGCAACCGTTCTTCGTATGTTTTAGTCTCCCGTCCCCTCATCATCCTGGTTGCTCTTTTCTGCATTTTTTCTACAGTCTCAACATCCTTTTTATAGTGTGGTGACCAAAACTGGATGCAGGACTCCAAGTGTGGTCTTATTAAGGCTTTATAGAGTGGTCTTAGTACCTCCCTTGATCTTGATTGTATCCCTCTGTTAATGCAACTTAGGATTGCATTGGCTTTTTTGGCTGCTGCTGCACACTGTTGGCTCATTTTTAGCTGGTTGTCCACTAAGACTCCAAGATCCCTCTCATGATTATTGCTATTCAGCCTGGTTTCACCCAGTCTTCTGCTGTTTAAGAGCAAAAGGCAGGGTATTTAACTGAGGGGTGTGTCTGTGAGAGAGAGGGAGGGAGGGAGGGAGGGAGGGAGAGAGAGAGAGAGGGAGAGAGAGAGAGAGAGAGAGAGAGATGTGGAATAAAAGCATCCTTGCAAATCAGTTGTTTAGACTGAATGGCTATATTGGTTGATTTAGGTCGTGTCTCTACTTAACCATATCACAAACATACCCTGGAATATTTTTTCCTGTTCTGTTCTTATGGTGTTGCCTTCATCTCATTCTTTCTTCCCCTTTCCAAACTGTCCAAGGCAGAGTCTGAAGGTGTTCGGATTTTACACCTCACTGGGTGGAGAGCATTAAAACTCTTCCCATAGTGTGGCGTAAAAGAGTTGTTTTCGCTCAGTAGTGAAAAAAAGACAGTTAAGCAAACATGAATCTTAGCTCCTATCAGCAGTCCTTCCCCAAAAGACCAATGAAGGACCTGCAAAACCAGAGTTCTGTGCTCCTCTCACTATGCGCTTCTATCAAATAGGTGGGCTGTTCATCCTGGCCCAGTTGCAGTTTCCATAGAGTCTTGAAGGGCAATCAATCCCACGTGAAGTCGGTCAGCCAGGTGGTCCTGAGGGCATGAATGACTTGAAGCCAGGTTCTTCTGCATCAGATAAGGATGCAGTTGGTGCATATTTATTGATATAAAGATCCCGATCATATCCCGATTAGATCCCTGTAATAGTCTTTATAACGTTGCTTCAAGAAGCATTGTGACATTTCAGTTGATAGCAAGTGAGATATTGGCTTGGCTCATGGAGTCCTCAGCCCTGTTTGATCTGCACTGCCTTCCGGTCTCTTTCCAAACACATCTCAAATTGCAGATCTTGCCAACATCAAAGAATCTGGCCTAAAGCTATTAAGAGGCCTGTTTTCTCTCACGTGGCCCTTCCCTTGTGCCCGGGCAGCTCTTACCTCTTCCCAAAATCCAGTGTTTATACATTTGGCCAGGGGTGCTTCCCACCCATATTGTGAAAGTTAAAGGCCGAAGATGTTTAGGCCCAGAACTCTCTTCTCTTAAGTTTTCACAGGTGGCTGAAAAATATGATTTCCATGAAGCTTTCAGCGTGGGCTGAAGACTTTCTCCATGCCTAAGGCCAAATTACAATATTCTAGGTTTTATTGTTATTATATAGTATTCCTGTGATAGTGAGGTTCATGGCTGGGCCTTTTCAGTAGGTCATTTTGACTTTTCTTTTATAAAGAGAAGTGGAACATAAATATCTAAATGCACTCAGAACTATGAGTCTTCCTTTATGAGGGCCACAGATGCTTTCTTGGAGACAAGTCTGATATTGCTTTGTTAGCTTTGGTTTCCTGCGGATACCCAGGCATATTGGAGGCCCCCTAAACCCCTTGAACTGGCTTTTTCTTAAATATTTATCTAAGGTGAGGAGGGACTTCAGGTTGAGGCCCTTCTGGTGGGTTGGAAGGATGTTCTTCTCTTTGATGGGGATGCTGTTTTTCTAAACCCCAAAAACTTTAACCTTAGACTGTCTACCATTGACCTCACCCCTTTCCTAAGAGGCCTGTAGGGGGCGTGCATAAGCGCACCAACGTGCCTACCGTCCCTGTCCTATTGTTTCTCTTATTCTTCTTTTATTTTTCTTATATGTACCCATTTCATGTATTCACAACTATGTATACACTTATACTTATTATCTTGTAAACAATTGGCAAATCAAATAAATAAATAAATAAAATAAATAAATAAATATTGTTTTAAATTGCTGAAACTTCGGTGTCAGAAGGGCAGGACTGTTTCTAGGCGGCCTCTCGCCAAGCCCAACTGAAATGCCTCTGAACTCTGCATTTTTCTGCCTGAGAGTTGTGGGAAACAGAGGACGTTTTTGGCCCAAACTCTCTGGTTCTTTTCATCTGCTTCAGTTGGAAGGCTCTCTCTCCTCGGGGCTTGTTGCACCCAAAGTAGAGTACAGTGGTGAGATTCTACTCGTACATAATAGCATTGCTCACACAATGTGTGTTTCCTTGGCAGATGTCATGGCGGCCACAATATCGCAGTTCCAAGTTTCGAAATGTCTACGGCAAAGTAGCCAATCGAGAGCACTGCTTTGACGGGATTCCAATTACCAGGAATGTCCATGACAACCATTTTTGTGCAGTCAATACCAGATTCCTCGCCATAGTAACAGAAAGTGCTGGTGGGGGCGCTTTCCTCGTCATTCCACTGGAACAAGTAAGTGACACTTTGCTGAAAGTATTATTATATACACAAAAAACGACAGTGTACACAGCAAACAAGATAACTATGCTGAGTTTCTTCTTCTTCTTCTTCTTTTTTTCTTCTTCTTCTTCTTCTTCTTCTTCTTCTTCTTCTTATTATTATTATTATTATTATTATTGGAACAGAACTTGGTTCATCTCAGTTTTCAGTCTGGGAGAGAAATTACTTTTGTTTTACCTTCTGCAAATATTTTTTTGTGGAGGGGGTGAAACATATGAGGTGGGGATGGACACTACATAATAGCCATCCAAGGCTAGTCACTGTCTGAATGCTGGGCAAAAATAGAGGGATGAATACTGTACAGAAGCTGTTGTGAAAGAGGGCCTTCCATAAAAGAGCTCTTGATAAAGCAACAGTGTGCAGTGTGATACTCCTCAGGTCACTTTAAGCAGCTACCCATGTCCCAGAATAGTCAGAGAATGATAACATAACATGAATATAACATAACTTATCCCCGGTCGCTTAGCAACTGTTTGAAGTTGCAATGGATCTCCAAAAGGTACTTATGACCCAATTCCAAAGCTATGACATTCAGTGAAAAATGCCCCATAGCCTGGATCCGAGATGGACTGAATTCTCACCTACTATCCCCTCTGTCTGTTGACCAAAGCAGCTGCTTCATGGCACCTATATTGCAACTCTCCAGAGTGCATTGATGCCCCTACCAACAGACTTTCAATGGGCATCCCACCATGCATCACCATATCTGTTAGGAGCGGCCATGGGGCTGGCTACGCAATCTAAAACTGTCTCTATCTATTGGACTGGACGGAATATGTGACTACTTCTTTAAAAAGCTATCCACTGCCATAGCTGAACCTCTAAGCATAATCTTTTAAAAATCCTTCAGGACCAGCTCCTTGCCAAACCTATGGTCACTGGCCACGGTCATCCCCATCTTCAAAAAGGGAGACCCCAGCATAGTTGAAAATTACAGACCAATCTCTTTATGCTGCGTCATTTGTAAAGTCATGGAATCAATTATTAACCAATCCATTATCCTCCACTTAGAGACAAACAACCTACTCTCTAACAAACAATTTGGTTTCAGAAAAAAACTATCATGCAATCTGCAACTCTTACACTGCAAAAACATATGGACTACACAGCTCGATCAGGGCAAAGCAATAGACGCAATCTACATAGACTTCTGTAAAGCCTTTGATTCAGTGGTACATGACAAACTATTCCTAAAACTAAAATCTTATGGTATCTCTGGACAATAGAAGAGCACACAATAGATACAAACTCAAGGTAAACCGCACCAAATTTGATTGCAGGAAATACGACTTCAGGAACAGACTGGTCAATGTCTGGAATACTCTACCTGACTCTGTGGTTTCTTCCCCAAACCCCAAAACCTCTAACCTTAGACTGTCTACTATTGACCTCACCCCTTTCCTAAGAGGCCTGTAGGGGGCGTGCATAAGCGCACCAACGTGCCTACCGTCCCTGTCCTACTGTTTCTTTTTATTTTTCTTATATGTATCCATTTCATGTATTCATAACTATGTTTATATTTATACCTGTTATCTTATAATCGCTTGACAAAATAAAATAAAATATAAATAAATCATCACTGGTGCCAGGAAGGAGTGCTCAGGAGACTTGACCACCACTCGGCCACTTGCTATTTTTAACTCAAGCTGCCTGGATTAAAACTATGGCCTGTATGCTGAATGGCCTCTGAGCCTTGGGTGAGGGTCTTGCTTCCAAGCACTTGGAACCACTCCTCTCACAAACACAAGGTACGCTTCAGCCACACTGCAGAGGGTAACGTGAATAACATCTGGAACAGCAGAGATATTGGTATAAATACAAAAAGCAGGCTAGGTGGAGTAATCGTCTTCCCTATAATGATGTATGGGTGTGAGAGAACAATTGATGCCTTTGAACTGTGGTGCTAGTGGGATCCGCTGTTGTCGGGGTAGGAGGGTGGGAGTTGGTTTTTGTTTTGTTTTGTTTTTTGTTTTCCCAAATTTTGTTCTATTGTACTTTACTAATTTATTTGATTCTTTTTGTTAGTTCTTATTGTTTTTGTTTTTATTTTTTGTTTTAAATATGATTTTTACATTGTGTAAGCCGCCTTGAGTAGCCATGGGTGAATAGGTGGCAGTATAAATCAAAGTAAATCAATAAAATAAATAAACATTTAGCCCTTCCTAATAAGATGGAGAAAATCCCTCCTGCAATCCCGGATAACCAGTGACCATTAGGACTGTCTCCTTTGTGTTGAAAGCGGAGGGAGGGAAAGCTGTTTCTGAAGTCAGCGGTTGGGGAAAATGACCATCCCTTTAGGCCTTTTCATAATTAATTGGCGGATTGGGAAAGTAAAATGAGTTTATCTCCTTTGCAGTCAGGTGAAGCCTCTTGAAGTGAGCAGCTTTCTAATTAATATGCTTCTATATTTAGCAAAAATAAATTAAGGTAACCTAGAAACTACTGAAAAGAACAGATTAAACTCAGAAATCTAACTTCCTTGACATTATGTTCTTACTGGCTTTTTTATGAAAATGATTCCCTTATCATGATTCTCCTCCCACCCCCAGCCACGATATTTCTTTCTCTTGTGGGAATATGTTCTCCTGCCAAGAGATCAGAAATCTTAGCTACTTATATATTTTTTTTCTTTTAAAAATCCCAGCTTCCATGTACTTAATCAGGAGCCAAAAAACACCCACTCAGCACACTGCAAGCCAACTGCAGAGATATTTTAAAAAGAAAAACTCCTGCAGAAAAGCTGCCAGTTCCTTTGCAAAGGCAGGGTCAGACAAGGATGAGGGCAAAGAACCCATTGCAGATCCTCCTGCGCACAAGGGTGGTAGCCTCAATTGGGCCAGGACACGGGGCAGCCGCCTGCCAGGATTTGGGGAAAGACTTTCGTTCTTTGGAAAAGTATATGCCCAAATCTTAACTACCCTCCCTCTTTCTTCTATTTTCTTTCTTTCTTTCTTTCTCTTTCTTTCTCTTTCTTTCTTTCTTTCTTTTTTTCTTTCTTTCTCTTTCTTTCTTTCTTTCTCTTTCTTTCTCTTTCTTTCTTTCTCTTTCTTTCTTTCTCTCTTTCTTTCTTTCTTCCCTTCCTTCTTTCTCTCTTTTCTTTCTTTCTTTCTTTCTTTCTTTCTTTCTTTCTTTCTTTCTTTCTTTCTTTCTTTCTTTCTTTCTTTCTTTCTTTCTTTCTTTTTCTCTTTCTTTCTTTCCTTCTTTCTTTCTTTCTTGATCATCTATCATTATCTCTTCATCCATCACCTATCAGCGCTGTTCATCTGTTTGTCTAAACTCTATGCAACCCTCAATGGAAGCTGGCCACTAACTCCTATTTGGTCCAGGGAGAAGAAGCCTGGTTGAATGGCAGCCTGAGACAATGGATTCCTTAGACACAAAGCCACCTAAGAAAGAAGGAAGGTCAAAATGTCCAGGCCCTTCATTCAAGCCATGCCTGGGGCTGCTGGCTCAGAAAAAAAGGATATTTTTGTGGCAGAGAAAGCAGCAGGAAGAAGAAGAAGGAACAGACAATCTTGTAGTTGTCTGGAAGGGCTTTGATTTGGCATAGGGCTGGGCTGCCTGTTACTAACTTGAAAGTGGAGTGTCAGGATTAGGGCAAGTTATGCTCCACCAGGAGGGGCTTGTCCACAAAAGCCAGGATTTGTATCCTTAGCTGCTGACAAGAAGAGCCGAAGGGAACGAGATGGCGGGGTGGCTGAGATCAATTTCCTTCCTTCTAGAATATTAATCTGAACCAAACTGGGCTGAGCAATTAAAATGCTGAACGTACTTCTCTTCATCTGCAGTCAGTTCAGTTACAGACGGTACTGAGGAAACTTTCATCTAGGGAACCAACTGATGAATTAATTGGAGAATGGAACAGTTCTGGGTGTTTGGGAATGAATGCAGAAACGCCATGAAAGAATTCGGGATATTCTGCACTCGGTATAACAGAACAGCTTGCTGCTCCCTCTCCATCCTGCCAGCGCGGAGGACATCAGAGGGGTTTGCATCCAGGGAACCTCGACTCAATCTATGACCCCTCCAGGGAAGGCAGAAGCGAAATCCTGGGTTGGATTCTCCTTCTCTAGGAAGTCAGCCACGTTCAAAACACAACAGACCAGCAGTGAAGTTCAGTGTCTGTTGTAGAACAAGGAACGAGTGGTGTGATAAAATATTTTGGGGCTATAGCACATGATGCAAGCCTCTTTCAGTCACGAGAATCATCATAAAAGCAGACAGAGAAAAATAGAATACATACATACGTGTATACATGTGTGTGCATGTGTCAAACTAAACTTAAAGAAAAGAGAACAGGAAGGAGTAAAAAGTATAAGAAAAAAGAAATATATACAGAAGTGACCTCCAATCTTCAACACAACTATAAACAAATTTAGTGATTATTCAGCTCCTTTACAAATATTTATCTCTTCAACTCGTATCAAATTAACCAACTTTATATTCCGTCCTTTTTCTTAATGTTTATTCATTCAGGTATTGAAGATTTCATTTCATTTCTTCTTTGTCCCATCCCATTTAGTTCTTTAAGACTTTAACAATCCTCTTTTATAAAGCCAACAGGGACACTGTCCAGGTCACACTCTTGGTTTATCATATCATCACCTTTTGAATTTTAAATCAACAATTTCTTCTGCAGAGCCAGTGAAAAATCCTTTCCCAGGTCATCTCTTGGTCTGTCAGTTTCGGAAATCTACTTTCAATGCCAATTCTATCTTGTCAGATAACATTTGTTCTACACCTGTCATTTCTTCAAAAACATATTTTGGTCCCAGTCTATCCACAGAAGTAAATATCATTATTGATATTGATATTGTGTCTACTATTTTCTGATTCAATTCTCCAAAATTTTGTTTCAGTCATTTTATTGTGAGAAAGTTTTGCATCCTTTTAAAGCTTTCTTCTACCTATAAACTTTAGTCGAGAGAGGAGGAATGGGGGGGGGGGCTTAG